GCTAACATTCTCCTTTCCCTTCCTCCCCCACAACAAACACTCTGTGAGGTGAGTGGGGCTGAGAGACTTCAAAGTGTGACTAGCCCAAGCTCACCCAGCAGCTTCATGTGGAGGAGCGGAGACGTGAACCCGGTGCCCCAGATTACGAGTCTACCGCTCTTAACCACTACACCACACTGGCTCTCTGGAGCTTTTCTGCGGCGATTGGGTGGGTGATTGGTGGCTGCGGCGGCAATTGGGTGAGTGAGTGATTGGTGGCTGCAGAAATGGTTGCTATGGACTGGCTGCCGCTGCGGCAATTAGGTATGCGCTTTGTCAGTCGGGTCAGTGATTTTCGTCATTCCCCTCCCCCAAAAACTGAACAACTCTGTGCCATCTCCCCTCATTTTCTGAAATTGGAGTCCCTAAAAGTAGGGGTTGTCTTATACATGGGGGGGATATTATAAATGGGAAAATGTGGTAAATGTGGACCAGGTGGAGTGGAGTGGCGAAGGCACCTAAGTACATGGATCTTATAGAATATTTCAAGGAGGATGTGAAAAAGGGAATATATCTGTGTGCTTTAACCTCACAGCAGGAGCCACTGTTCTTAATAAAAGACCAGCAAAGGGGAAATTGCTGCTCAGGAGAGCCAGATTTTGACTCGTATCAGAGTGCTGCAGCTGCTGATTACAGGCAGATTTTGACTGATTATTTGTAGCCACTCGAGTGAAGATTTTGCAGCGGCAGAGAGCTGGTTGATTATTTTTTTAATGCAGGGAAGGGGAAGGTGACAAAAAGATGTTCTATTCCATGGGCAAGTGCACCAGGCCTTCTCAGTTTTAAAAGGGCACGTTTCAGCTCCCTAGCACGTACTGTTTTCCATGTGCTAGCACATTCTTATACAAAATAATCGGAAAAATGGGGGACGCGAACGAACCAATTAAAACAAAGAGGACGGGTCCAAATTTTAACCTTGCACTCCATCTGTGCATATTAAGGGAAAATGTGCCTGAAAAAAGCATCTAATGGACAGAAATGCACTGTATTAGGGGAAATTGCTTGGGGGTGTGTGGATATATTAGGGGGAAAGGCATTTGGTTGGCAACTGTGAGAACAGGATACTGTATGGGCCAATGGCCCATTATAAGAAATTATAAGAAAATTGCATTAAAATGCTTATTAACGTTCATGAGGACTTTCCTTTTTTTAAGACACTAATTGAGGCAGAAATGCAGAAAACTGAACTGAAGGTATGGAAAATTGGAGGCCCTTTTTGGACTATCTGTCAAAGTATTATAGTGAAATGAAATCGTGAGCAGGATTTGAGATATGAGAGGCATACAAAAATGGCAGGATGGAGTTGGGGGGGTTAGCAACATGTATAATGCAGCAATCAAGGATAAAAATAAAAGCATCAGGGTGGGAGGGGTGGGAAGTCAAAAAGAAAAATATAAGTGAATGATATATTGTGTGCAAAGTAAATCTGTGAAAACATTTGAAAAATCTAATAAAAAATTAAAATTAAGAAAAGAAAACTGGCCAGAAGGAATTCTAGGTGCCGAAATCCCAAAGGAGCAGAAAAGACTATTTATGTATGCTTCCTACCAGAGAAGAATGGCAGGTGACATTAATGGGCTAGGCTGAAATGCCTAAAATGACCAGAAGAGTCAGAAATCAGGAAGACCAAAATTTTAACAAGGGACGAGGAGTATTTATAACTTACCTTAAAGACCATTGTAAACAGTTAAAATTACCCTGGGGGATGGATTGGTGGTTGGGTCATGTTTGTTGATGTATTTAGTGTAAAAGGAGTTTTTGTTTTTGTTATTGAAACCTTGTTGAAGTTATTTTTTAGTCCCTTTTTAGTGCATGGTCTCCCCAGCAAGCTCTCTGCAGCGCTACTAAACTGCAAATAACCAACAAATGAAAGAGGTAAAGGTTTTGGATTATCATAAAAGATGCGAGAGGAAAGGGTTAATAATAGGACCCACAAAGGGGAGGGTGAAAGTCCAGGAGATTCCTTGGAATCTTGTTTTTATGATTTATGTGCAATAGATGTAAAATGTAAAATGTTGATTTGAAAAAAAACAAACAAATAAATTTTACAAGAAAAATTATGAACCAAAATTGACAGCCTTGTCCATCCTAGCCCCAGCTACAGTAGCACGGCCAATGATTGGGGTTTATGGGATCTGTAGTCCAACCTTTGGGAAGCCATGGTTTCCCCATCTCTGACATACACTCTCTTCTTGCCTTCCTCACAGACACAAACACAGAGAGTCACATGGGTTGGGAAAAGCTGCATTGCTGCATGTTTGACATCTACCGCTTCAATCGGCCTGGAATATGAACACGCCAGGAAAACAAGCCCCCTTGGACCATGGTTGTTTGATCTGATCCTAGACTTATTAAATATTTGCTCGTGAGTGAATTATCCACAGTAGCCTGCTTTGCACTTGATCTTCCTGCTTGACGGAAACTCGTCAAGCCAAGTCCCAGGGCACACGCTGCTACTCATCTGCCGTCTGTGCCCTTCAGTCTTCTTTAATTGAGGCACAGTTTGCGCACTCGGCGGGGTGTTCGGGAGGATAAAAATTGGGCCGGCACCACGCCAAAGCTCACTGCGAGGGAGAGCCAGATGCTTCGTTTCATTGGCATATCAAGGATCAACCTCCCGACCAAAAGAGAAGACAGGTGAGGGAGGAAGAAGGATTATCTATGCCTAAAACATACACACCCTTCACTTCAAGCTTTGGAACTTGTCACAGCTGCCTGGTAGCCGTTGTTTGAAGATATGTGTGGACCGATATATAATTGCAATACCGAATTTGGCAGAGTGGGAGGATTCCCAGTAAAGCTTTGAAGTTCTTGTATCACTGAAGATATTTTTTCCCCCCTCCAGACAAGTGCTGTGGAGCATAGTTATCCGAATGAAAATCACATTTGTTGTTATGCTGGTTAAATATTTTTTGGGGGGGGGTGTTTCTTCCCACCACCGCCTTATAACTTATTTATTCGAGACGTTTGACAAAGCTGAAGTGGCTTTTTGTTTGCTTAGCTATTCACATTCGACTGCAAAATGTATGCTTATTTACAGTATCTCCGACTCCCCGTTTACAATGCATTTGTTAAATTGGTTAAGAGAGTTTAATTGGCCATTGGGGGATTATTCCTTGCGCTATTCCCAAATCTGTTTACTAAAAATACGCACTAAGAATGAGCTACTTCTTAGAACCTTGTTGCGTTAGGCCATTATCATCTGCAGCATTTTCCTTTACCAGATTCCTAACATGCCGTAGTCAGAATTCCTCCTCTAGATGTACCTGTTTTTTTCAGAGCAGCCTGCAGAGGATTTTATCACCTTAAATACAGCAGATCCACCTGGAAAATCTGGTATGGATCAAAGAAGTTCCAGAAAGAAAGTTATAGCATTTACGTTGCTATCAGAAGGGCTGCCTCTCTTCCCCTCGTGGTTTCACAAAACAAATTGTCTGCTATTGCAGAGTTGCATGTCGAGGTCCCCAAGACACCCCCCAATAAAACACAGATGACACATGATTTTAGTTTCAAGGTTTTTGGCATAATTTTGGCCACAACCTTATTAAAATTACAAGCGATGTGAGTGGTTGCTTAAGCATTGGTTGCGACTATCTGACCCCGCACTGGGACAGACTGAGATTCGCACGCACACGGAGTCAGAAAGGGAAAACATTTTGGGGAGAAAGATTGAGCTGGGTACCATGCCTCGCCTCTTCCCAAATGCTCCCAGGGGCTCTTGCGTGACCCTAGCCTCTTGGCAGGAGTTCGGACAAAAGCATGGCGAGCCCCTGGGTTCCTTTAATGGAAAACCCTTGCAGCAGCAGCAGCATTTTGGAGGGGCAGGCACAGCCATTCCATACCCCTCCACCAATCAATTCCTAAACCAATGCCTAACCGCAACCTTACAAGTTGTGACGATTTGCTACGCAGTAGGCAAAAACCAAATGACACCAGCCAATCAGCCAAATGGACAAAATCCTACTGGGCCCCTGCCCCAAAAGCAGACGACCCCATGACAGGCATAGCGAGGTCAAGCGAACAACCTGAAAATAGGGAGGGAGGGAGGGCAGGTGATCTGATGCGCACAGCGAAAAGAGGAAGCTCAACTCTGTGCGCAGGGTATTTAAAGGCTATGGCTGCCAATCACAAAATGGCAACATTTAAATCTCCCCAGCAACAGTAAGCTCAATGATAATGATGGCCAAACACTTTTCCTGCCCAGCAACAGTGGGTGTCTTGTTAGCCCCCACCGCAACACTTGCTCTCCATGAAGGAGAACATGCTTAACCATATTTGACACTACCCAATGTACACTGATGAGCGGGATGTGAAGATCCATTTCACAGTCCATCATTTTCAAGCAGAGGCGCCAGCTTGTGAGGGCAATGGAACAACAGGATGTCAGGAGGAGTCGGTGTGAAGCCAACCTCACTGACAGCATGGCTTCAATGGCCAGCAGCTCTTCTTCCTGCTGCTGCTGCTGCCGGCCTGCTTTGACCCTCCTTCCCTTCCACAACAGGATTCATAGAATCACAGAATTGTAGAGTTGAAAGGGACCCTGAGAATCATCTAGTCCAACTCCCTGCAATGTGGGTATATACTGTCGGAATCTCCGCTTGACCGAGCTCCTTCGAGCTCCTCCGGAATCGCCCTCCGACGTGATTAACAACCTGAGCCTCTGATAAGACTCCAGGTACATCTCCCATTCAGCAGAGTTTCCAGCACAGGCAAGAGATGAGAAGTTTGAGCTACATTGCTAGGTTTTATTACTAAGCTAAGCAGACAGAAAAAAAATACATCCTCTCTCTGTGAGAGCAGAGAGCAAACTGAAACAAAGGCACAGGAAACCAGTAACATCACACCCGTCTCCCATCTCCCGTGAGACTTCCAACAGTCTGGAATGTGTGGAATGCAAAACAGAGTCTTGTGACTCCAAAGAACTGCACAGTGGTAACACACAGAAACCAATATATGAAAGTTGCCCCCTCCAGGGATCGAACCTACAACCTTGGCGTTATCAGCACTATGCTGTAACCAACTGAGTTAGGCATTTGCTTAGCTCATGAGCCGGGCACTGAAGCCATGCTGTGCTTGGCTCGACACTCGGCCTACTCAGCCCCCGATTTTGGGGTCATTGGCGTGGCCAGCCCCCTCCCAAAAATATTGGGGGGGGAAGGGCTTGGCCCCTATGAGTTAGCACCCCTGTTTTCAAGTCTTTAACTGTCAGAATGCTGTCATCAACTCCCAGCTGGTTGCCCAGGAAAGTATAATTATTCATCCTATTTTCATACTATACAAAAAGAAAGCATATGTTCATACAAAAATAATAATATAACCATTAGGCTCTCCTTAGCCTTTGACTTCCCTTCACCCTTTTGGTAAGTATCAAATAAGTCCCGGGTTGCGTAATTAGTTTATTAAAGTTTATAGTTATTAGCTGATAAAGTTTTTCTAATACCGCCAGTTCCTCCTATATATCCGTTCCAATATATTTCCAAAACTTACTCCAATTTTTTGAAATTTCTGGTCGTCTTGGTCTCGTATTCTGCCTGTTAATCTATCTAGCTCGGCATAGTTGATCATTTTGACCTGCCAGTCACTTATGTTAGGAATAGTTTCTATTTTCCAGTTTTGTGCCAGCATAATTCTTGCGGCTGTGGTGGCATAGAGAAATATTTTTTATCTTCATTTTTTATTTCCTTACCCATTATTCCCAGCAAAAAGGCCTCAGGTCTCTTGGGAAAAGTGTATTTAAAAACTTTTTTAAGTTCATTATAAATTGCTTCCCAAAAACCTTCACCTTGCTGCATTGCCACCACATATGGTAGAGGTCTCCCTCCCCTTCACCACATTTCCAGCATGTCTTATTTTCTGATCTATAGATTTTAGCCAATTTTGCCGGCGTAAGATACCATCTATAGAGCATTTTCCAAACATTTTCTCTCAAACTCGTACAGGCCGTAAATTTAATGTCTCTATTCCACAATTTCAACCACTTTTCAAACTCGATGTTATAACCGAAGTCAATTGCCCATTTAATCATTGCCTCTTTGACTTCCTCGTCTTTTGTATGCCATTCCAGTAATATGTCATATAATTTAGACAATGTTTTGTTTTTGCCTTCTATTATTTCTATATTGAATTTTGATTTCTTGTCCTCAAAGCCCATTTTTCTTTTATCTTGTTTTAACATATCATTCACCTGATGATATTGTAACCAGCCGGTGAATTGATCCTTTATTTCCTCATACGGTTTAAGTTTAAGCCCTTGTTCTGATTTTCTTAGCAAATCTTCGTAGGTGGCTGTCTTCCCTTCCATGTTGGTTTTTTTATTGTTAAGACCTCTACTGGTGAAATCCACCATGGTGTTTTTCTTTCGAGAAGGTTCTTATTTCTTTCCCAGACCTGATATATTGGTCCCCTGAAAATATGGTTTAAGAAAGCCCTGTGGACTTTCACCTTCTCGTACCAGAGATATGCGTGCCACCCATACCGGTTATTGAAACCTTCTAAATCCAGTAGGTCTCTGTTCTCCAATTTTATCCAATCTTTTAACCAAAGTAGGCACGCTGCTTCATAATATAGGCTCAAATCTGGGAGGGCAAAACCTCCTCTTTCCTTTTATCAATTAGTATTTTCATTTTAATCCTTGGTCTTTTCCCCTGCCAGATGAATTTCATCAGGGTTCTCTGCCATTCTTTACATTGTTTTAGACCTTTAATAACTGGAAGAGTTTGAAATAAAAACAACATCCTCGGCAAAACATTCATTTTAACCACTGCTATCTTCCCTAAAAAGGAAAATTTCATCCTCCCCATATTTCCAGATCTTTCTTTATTTTTTTCCATGTAACTTCATAATTATCTTTATATAGGTTTATGTTTTTGCCGTAATCCACACTCCCAAATATTTCACTTTTTTCACCACCATGATTTCCACTTTTTGTTCTAGATCTTTCGTTTCTTCCTTAGTTAGATTTTTAACCAGCATTTTAGTTTTATTCTTGTTTACCTTAAAACCTGCCACCTCTCCAAATTCCTCAATTTTTGTAATGCTTCTTTTACACTATCTTGTGGATCTTCCAAAGTCAAAACAATATCGTCGGCAAAGGCTTTAATTTTGAATTCCTTCTTTCCTACTCTAATTCCTTTCACTTCTGTTGCCTCCCTCAGTCTCTTATTAAGTACTTCCAAAATTACAATAAATAATAAGGGGGACAGGGGCAACCTTGTCTGGTCCCTTTATAAATGTTAAAATATTCTGTTGTATTGTTGTTTATCACCAGCTTTGCTTTCTGTTCTTTGTATATTGCTTCTATGCCTCTTCTAAATTTTTCGCCAATTCCCATCCTTTCCAAAGCCTTCTTTAGGAAGTTCCAGGAAACATTATCAAATGCCTTTTCGGCGTCTATGAAAACCAGTGCGGCTTTTCTGTCTATTTTCATGTCCAGGTATTCAATAATGTCAATCAAATTCCTTACATTATCCCGTGATTGTCTCCCTGGGAGAAATCCTGTTTGATCACCATGAATTTTATTAATCAAGACCTTCTTTAATCTTTCCGCCATTATGTCTGCAAATAGCTTATAATCATTATTTAATAATGAGATTGGCCTATAGTTCTTTACTTCCATAGTGTCCACCTCTTTTTTAGGGATCAATATAACATAGGCTTCCTTCCAGGTATTAGGTATCTTTCCTTCTCTCAATATATTGTTCATAACCTCTCCCAGCACTGGTGATATTTGGTTAATTAATGTTTTATAATATTTGGCCGGAAGGCCGTCCGGTCCCGGCGCCTTCTCAGCTTTCATCTTTTTAATAGCCTTTTTTATCTCTTCCTGTGTTATTATCTCATCTAGTGCTGCTCTTTCATCTTCTACAATTTGTTCCAGATGGTGTTTTTGCAGAAATTGATCTATTTCTTGTTCTGTTTCCTCTCCTCTTTTGTACAAATCCTTATAATATCTTTGGAATATTCTTTTTATTTCTTTTGGTTCTTCCATAATCATATCTCCTTCTTTTATTTTACTGATCGTATTCAACTTCTTCCTTTCTCTCAACTGCCACGCTAGATATTTCCCTATCTTATTTGCGGACTCAAAGTTCTTTTGATTCATCCTTTTAATTTTCCACTCTATCTCTTGGTTAATTATTGTAGCAAATTTAGCTTGTAGTATTTTTAAGTTCTGTTTTAAACTCTCTTCACTAGGGTTAACAGTTAATTTTCTTTCATTTTCCATAATCTGTATTAAAATCTGCTCTTTCTTTTTTTCTTTTTCTTTTCTTAATTGGGTATTTTTCTGAATCAAAAAACCCCTCATGACCGCTTTTCCTGCGTCCCACACCATCTCTATGGAAGTTTCTCCATTTAAATTCCACCTAAAGTATTCTTCAATTGTTTCTATAGCCTTATTTACTATCCTTTGATCATTGAATAAATATTCATTCATTCTCCATCTGGCTGTTTTAACCTCTCTACCTTTTAACTCCATGGAAACCGCACTATGATCAGATAAAGTTCGAGGCCAAATTTCAGACTTAATTAAATTCTGTACCAATTCCCTCGAGACCCAAATACTGTCTATCCTCCCCAGCTCTGATTCGGATTTGAAAAAAAGGTGAATTGTTTTGCAGTAGGGTTTTTAAACCTCCAAACATCCGTCAATCCCAAATTATTTACCATGTCGAAGAAAGATCGTGGTAGTTTACCTTCTTTCCCATCTTGTCTTTAGGCAAGGAAAAGTTTCTTACAGTCCTTTTTTATTTCAAATTTACAGAGACAGGCTATAGAACCCAGCCTCTTGGATAATGACCTTGTCACAAGTGAATCTATCCCCTCCCCCCGGTCTCTCCACTTCCTCATTCGTCATCATCATCACCTCCTCACGGGTGCTGCTAAGTGCCCTTTGTCTTCAAGCTCTTTGCTCTCCTACTTTTAAGGCCTGCTGGGTTCTGGGAGATGGTGGGTCTGGAATGCTTTCTAATGACAACCTGTCAGTCAGCTACCATTCTGGTCCTGCCTCTTCCTCTCCCATAATTTCCCAGCTTTTCCCCTCATATGCCTCTGAGCTGTGACCTCCCCCCACCCCCTGTTGTAAATCTATACTGTCTTCCTCTTCCTCCTCCCTGGAAGGGTCAGGATGGGGAGGCAGTCTCCACCATTTCTCCTCCTCTGCCCAGTCCCTGACATTGACTACAATGGAAATGATATACCATACAATATATAGCAGACCTTCCAAGTGTCCCTATTTTCCAGGGACAGTCCTGGAATTACAGAAGCCATCCCAGTTTCTATTCTGATCCAGGGATGTCTCACTGTTCCTTAGGATGTCCCTATTTTCATCAGAGAAATGTTGGAGGGTATCGAGTTATCTGACCCACAAGCCAAGGAGATAACTAACTATACAACTCTTAGAAGACATCGGAAGGCAGCCCTGCATAGGGAAGGTTTTTTTTTCATTATGTTTTTTATATATGTTGGCGGCTGCCAAGAGTGACTGGGGCAACCCAGTCAATGAGCAGGGTATACATTATTTATTATTATTATTATTATTATTATTATTATTATTATTGAATAGGACACCCCTATTTTCATTGGAGAGATGTTGGAGGGTTTGTATATGGAAGCTGACCAAACTGAGGTGAGTAGGGTAGCCACGTAATGCATTGCCCTAAAAGAGGACAAAAGTATTTTTCATGTATAACACACCCCCATGTATAAGACACCCCCTATTTTGGGGGACTCAAACTTCATAAAATGGGGGGGGAGAGATTGCCCAGAGTTGTTGAGCTTTTTTGGGGGTTGGACCAGAGTTGTTGAGCTAACCCGTCTGATCAGCGCTGTTCCCTCGCAGCCCAGAAGCCACAAATCACCCACCCTATTGCTACAGTGACAGCAAATAGTCATCAGCCCTTGTCGATGCCACCAATAACATCATGGACAATCTCAGGCTTGCGGAACCAACCAATCCAACGTCACAAATATGCACTGACCGGGTGCTAGGTGTTCACAAACATCTTCAAGAACCTTCCTGCTTTCCTTTCTTATGGCTCTTTACCTTGAAATGGGACTTGGACCAAACAACCCCCCAAATAGAGAACTCCTTCAACTAGAGGACTTCCTCATCAAATAGGGTACACAACCATCTTATGAAGGTGTCGCCCATAGATTACCTTTCCCTTGCAGTAGTCATGCACTTCAATTGTTTCAAGCCACAATGTTCCTATGCCTTGACTTTTTATACTTTAAATTTCTTCTATCAATGCAGGACGCTGTCCATGCTTTTTAGACAGGTGTCTCACTGGTTTCATGCAAAGAAGTCCACATACAATTGTGGCCCTAACTGGTTATGGAAGGGTATTTTATGGTTAATTTATTATTGTGTCAGCAGACAGACATGAAATAAGTGTACTGTTCACATCTAGTTCCTATATCTATAGGGCTGCCTGCTATGTTATGGCATTTGAGCTTGTCTGCTGTACTTTTTTAATATACGGTAGGCTATTTGTTTTTTTAAAAGAGAAAAATGTTCTGGTTATGAAGGACCCTGAAACAAAAAATAAAATTATTCTAATGGGCCTTTTGGATGTTTTATGGCTGTTATTGAAATGTGGGAGAACAAGGGGCAAGGGCTGATTGATAGGATTATATATGGAGCCATACAATATGTACAGGATCAAATCACTCGAGAACTTTCATTCCTGCCAGCAGGAGAGTTAAGCTTTCTGCTTCCACCAAATCTCTCATACATTTAAGTTCCCCAGAAACAACAATTAATACACTATTTGATTGTTCTTAGCAGATTGCAGACTTGTAACAATTTATCCTTAACAGCGCCGGGGAAAGCAGGAGAGCTGATTTAATTAGGCAAGTTGGTGATAAATCATAGAGCAGATTTTTATTTCAATATGCTCTTTGCAGAGCCGGCATTCAGGATAGCTTGGAGCAAATAAAACTCCTCGAAACCCTCAAACCAGGCAAAACAGAAGCATCCAAAGGGATGGAGGAAACCCAAAACAAGACGTTCCTAAAACATCGTAACCTCATCAGTCTCCTGAGAAATCTCTATGTGGGACAAGAAGCTACAGTTAGAACTGGATATGGAACAACTGATTGGTTCAAAATTGGGAATGGAGTACGACAAGGCTGTATATTGTCTCCCTGCTTATTTAACTTATATGCAGAATTCATCATGCGAAAGGCTGGGCTGGATAAATCAGAAGCCGGAATTAAGATTCCCGGAAGAAATATCAACAACCTCAGATATGCAGATGACACAACCTTGATGGCAGAAAGTGAGGAGGAATTAAAGAACCTTTTATTGAGGGTGAAGGAGGAGAGCGCAAAATATGGTCTGAAGCTCAACATCAAAAAAAACGAAGATCATGGCCACTGGTCCCATCACCTCCTGGCAAATAGAAGGGGAAGAAATGGAGGCAGTAAGAGATTTTACTTTCTTGGGCTCCATGATCACTGCAGATGGTGACAGCAGCCACGAAATTAAAAGACGCCTGCTTCTTAGGAGAAAAGCAATGACAAACCTAGACAGCATCTTAAAAAGCAGAGACATCACCTTGCCAACAAAGGTCCGTATAGTAAAAGCTATGTTTTTCCCAGTAGTGATGTACGGAAGTGAGAGCTGGACCATAAAGAAGGCTGATCGCTGAAGAATTGATGCTTTTGAATTATGGTGCTGGAGGAGACTCTTGAGAGTCCCATGGACTGCAAGAAGATCAAACGTATCCATTCTGAAGGAAATCAGCCCTGAGTGAGAAGCTGAGGCTCCAATACTTTGGCCACGCCATGAGAAGAGAAGACTCCCTGGAAAAGACCCTGATGCTGGGAAAGATGGGGGGCACAAGGAGAAGGGGACGACAGAGGACGAGATGGTTGGACAGTGTTTTCGAAGCTACAAACATGAGTCTGACCAAACTGCGGGAGGCAGTGGAAGACAGAAGTGCCTGGCGTGCTCTGGTCCATGGGGTTACGAAGAGTCGGACACGACTAAACGACTAAACAACAAAACATCATAATCCTCCTAATTTTGCCCACCAGTAAATACTTGATGGGCAGGAGACATGTCAACAACAGTTGTGCTTCCCCAGTGTGACTATTCAGGGAGAGATAAAGCCGTGTTTTATTAATTTCAGCTGCCTATGCGAGACACAACTTCTGCCAGAAGTAGAAATCCTGTGTCAACAGAGCAACAACAGCAACCATCTTGGTGACTGGGGAATCCATCGATAAATATACCCTCAAAATACAGGATTGGTAAATTCAGAGCTCTGTGCCCCTAGGACCCGAATCCACAACCACCCAACCGTGAGAAACCTTTTCAATAGGAATCACTACAGAATAAACATACAGGGCTTCAGTTTTAGAATCCAAACCAAAGTCAAGTTTGGAAAAGGATTTTCCAGTGTGCCACTATACAACCAAGTACCCTTTACGTAGTGATTCCTCACAACAGGGACTGAATGGATAGGTGCTGAAGCTTTTGTCCTGCAGCTATACTACTGTCCTGAGATAGAGCAAGGTCATCAATGTTAGTCCTACTCAGAGTAGGCCCTTTGAAATCAATGGACATGACTGTCAGGTCCATTAATTCCAGCGAGTCTACTCTGAATACCCTGGATGCAACCCTTTGGGAGGAATTCAACTCCACGCTGTTACATTTCTGTCTGCCTGATGGAACAATCTCCCACCTCCTCCCTCTGTGTGTTGTTCTAGCATTCTCCGGAACCCCCACCCGGCCAATTTGGGTGGGGTTGCATTGTGGAGGAGAAGGAAGAAAGTTTTGTTGCACTAGTAGATGTTCTTGCACAGACTTGTTATTCAGTCTGAGCCTTGTGGCTTCAAAAAGTGCTACCATGGAAGTCTTAGCAGCTTGTGTTAGTTCCTACAAGACACTTCTTCATGTAATCCCTGCATACAGAGGCAGATGGTAGGGATTAAACGGAGACTGTTCATCTCTGTGAACAACCCTGTATTATTTGTCTTTACTGGCCAATCATATCCCAGCTGTCCTGAAGGGTTTAATCTATTGGCTCCCAATGAGACTAAGCCGGATTACATCCTAGTACTGTGTCTTAACGGAGTACTAAGGCAAATCATGCCCGAACATTCATAGTCATATATTTAAATAAAATGCCAAAAACAACCCCCTGTGTTGCAATGAGAACCAATCACAGAAATAGAGACACAACACGTAGGCTAATAACTCTTAAAGCATATATAACAGAATGATGATATCATTCAAAAAGTAGAAATAAATCTATTAGAGTTCATACATACAATGTAAGAGACTAGTGGCGCAGAACATCAAGCCACGTGTTCAAGATAGGCGTCAAAGGTCAGTCTCACAATGGTTATTCAAAGGTTTCCACAGAAGACCATAGTCGGCCAATTGGTGTTAAAGAGGGACAGAACTTTCTTTATGTATGCCACAACAGCAGCAAGAATTCTTATTGCAAAGTATTGGAAGACACAAGATTTACCCACCCTGGAAGAATGGCAGATGAAGCTGATGGACTATATGGAACTGGCGGAAATGACTGGCAGAATCCGAGACCAGGGAGAAGAGTCAGTGGAAGAAGATTGGAAGAAATTCAAAGATTATCTACAGAAGTATTGTAAAGTTAATGAGTGTTAGAATGATGTTCGATAAAAACTAAGTGGTTCTTAGCTGAAATGTTACAAGGGAAGATGAAAAAAGGGTTTACTATGTAAT